GGTGGGTTGGGGGCTGTGAAGGTTAAAGCATCCCAAACAAATAAAAGAAGGCATTTTCTAGTTAATATCCACAGTATGATTGTGCATTGCTGAAAACTATGTACCCTATTTCAAAAGCACCTGCCACACACAGAAGTCACAGACAAAATCAGCTGTTTAACATTTACAACATGGATTGCAGGGCTCCACACTTTCATAACACCAAGAACTAATCATTTCTAACAGACTCTGCAATTAAGGAATCGCAAAACAATACAGGCAGCAGTTTCCAGTTTGACTTTCTCTTTCTCCATCTCCTTCTATAGTGTGAAAAGAGCTTGCTTTCAGCACATGGAGCAAGTGGAGAGCCTGCACGGATAAATGGACTGGTGCTCAGAGTCTGAAATACACTGCAGTACACATGTGGCTGTTCTTGGAAGTCAACCATTTCTGCAAGTTATTCTCAAGAGGCACGATGTACTATAAGCACTTAAGAAATGTGTTACACTGTGACTGGAACCAAGATGAAATAGCAATATTAAAAGAGATGGTTTAGTTTATGTAGTGGCCAACTATGCCATTAAACTAGAACAATGGAGGCGATGGGCAGGCAGGAATGTTCTCCAGTGTGATTTATGCCTTTCCAGTAGCAGTGGAAATTTTTCCTATAGGCCTTAAAATGACGCTGTCTCCCAAATAGAAGTCAGCGTTGAGATGTAAGGGTTCTACCAGACCAGCCACCCCGAGATACTCTGCTCTCACACGGCACAGGGATCTCAGAGCCCTTTGCCAGGATGGGTCATTTCAGCCTCCCGGCCCCACAAAGACCATGCCTCTGTAGTGTTGCTCTCAGTCATTTCAGAACAGGGTAAAATGAGGCCTGAAGACCTGATTAAAAATACACAAAGGTTCTGCCACAGAGTCAAGGGCAAAACAAAGGTTTCCTTGATCCCGTGCTTTACAGGAAATGCACATCTCCCTTAGAAGGATCATGGCTTGCTGCAGCTGAGAGCAACTGAGTCAGCCAAGGCAGGAGGAAATGTTATCGGGCAATGGTTATCAAGCAAACAATACAAGGCTATTCCCACCAGTAAGGCCTGTGACACGTGTGGGAAAGGCTGGCTGCCTTTTAGTGTAAGCCAGAGCGTGACACTTAAACCCTGCTGATTTTGTACTTCTGCTGAATCAGCTGCACTCACAGCAGCCCTGTGCATCTACCTGCTCCTGGTGCCACTGTGCTCTGGCAACACAGGGATTGCCATGCCAGAGGCTGCCCTGTGCCCCCCCCCAGAAAATGAGGAGAGCCCCCAGATGTCTCCTGATCACACCTCTGAGCACTCACAGAGGACAGCAAGGGTGGGTTGAAGTGCTGCACCTAGAGGAGACGAACCTGACTACAGAAGATGCCCTCTGCTGTTGATCTTCTAATGACCCCTCACACAATGTGAGGGCCCAGCACGAGGAACAGGCTGAAGCCCCGAGCCCAACCCTGCAACCACCTCCCCCAAAACCAGCCCTCGGCAGAGCCACGAGTCACTCCCCAGCTTTGTGCTGCTCACTCTCAGTCCCGGGGACACCCCGCCAGACACCTACCCCTGAGCAACGTGCGTGGGACCACAGCTCCTCACGCTGCACAGCTGCAGCCACGCAGGGGCTGGGATTTCCCCTGGGCAGGTTATAAATCACCGAGCAAGTTCACAGGGATGGAGAGCAGCAGGGACAGCAAGCAGCTCGTGTGGCTCACAGCACGGCGAGGACGGAGCGCCAGGCAGAAGCAGACAGACACTGAGACACCAGCCAGCTGGCGTGCAGCAAGCGCTGGGTTTTTCAATGCCCAGCCCACCTCTTTCTTTAATCTCTCATAGTGCCATGGCTGCATGAGGCTGCTGGAAAAGACCAAACAAAGTTCTCTCCCTCTGGATGAAGCTGTGCTATGGACTACTCATCAGATCCTGACCTCTCCACTCCAAGACGAAACCCTCCTGACCTCCAGAGCGCTTCACCTGAAGGAGGACACTCAGAGCTGACATAGCAAAGCTAAGCTTTTGTTGCCTGAAAACCAAGCCCACCAACACGTGCTTTAAAAATAACGTGAAATGCATCACGGATTCAGTTCCAGCTTCCACTCCAGGTATTGCCACTTTTACTACGTGTACTACGTCCAGGATGGAGTGAGAGGTTTTTTGTTTGTATTTTTCTCTTGAAAAGGAAACCTACAGAAGAGATGACAATCTCTTCCTCCCCCGAATCCACTTGCGTTACACATAGTGCTGGGCTGCTCTCATGCAACTCCGGCGCTGATTGGTAAATGCGTAAATGCCAAACTTGCTCACATTTCTCTTGTAGTAGGAAGGAACAAGGGAGAGAGGATCAGCTGACCGCACGCAAGCATTTAGCAACCTGCCTGTGCTGTCGGTGCCCTCTGTGAGTGATGGTTGTTTCCCAATCGGAAACATGAGCAACTGCCCCAGCTGGGTAGTCCTCGGCCAGCTGCTACAAAAGCGTGGTCCTGACTCAGGAAAAGAGGCAGACAGACAGGACTGTGGCAGCACGCTCACCCCAAGGCGCTCTCCAATTTTCAGCAAGGCAATTGCATTGTTTATGGTATCACAAGAGCCCCCAAACCGAGCGGCAGCAATTGGCACGAGCCAGCGTCTCCCCATCGAGGACGGACAGCTGGCTAGCACAACAAACTTGAGCTCACGGCCTGATGAGGAAGCCTGTTCTTGACCCACACAACTACTTCCCCCCATTTCAGAGACTCTGAAGCAATCTCCGGGGGACGCTGCTCTGATGCAGCCAGGCGCACTGCTCTGGAGCCTTCAGGGAGCTCAGGCCTTTTCATGAGAGTGGAGGCAAGACCCCTTCAAGCACCTTCACCCCGAATTAAAGCTGCTGCTTCCCTACCCCAGTGCTTTACACAGGGGTTGGCAACTGCGCTGCCAGCTGTCTTCCTGAGGGTCTCAACTGCACCCTGACAGCTCTGAGGGATACCTTTGGGTACACACACATACACACGTGTGTGCCCTGTGTGCCCACGTTGCTATGGTTTGCCTTAAGCAATCAAATCCCTAATACCGGGCTACGTTTGCAAGCAGTTCAGCAGACTGAAATCGGGGTCTCTGTGTTAGTGGGTCTGCCAAGCCTGCGTGCCAGCACGCTCTGTGCAGCTCCCACTAGTCATCTACTGGGTCAGCTCCCCTGTTGTCTGCAAGGACGGTCCAGGCAGCAACAGGGGAAAAAATTAAACTGCAAATACAGGATGCATTATGAGACATCGGGCACTGGTTGGAAGATCTGGGGGAAAATAAGGGAAAATGTAATAAATTATTTCCAAGTTTTCCTTTTCCAACATACATGGAGAGTCAGTGCGGTTTAACCGGGAGAGTATTAAGTTCAAACCCTGTCAGTAAGAGCGGGCTCGGGTAGTACATTGCACTGTATAAACCAAGCTGCTGCTCTTCCACACATAAAAGAAGGCAGCAGGAGACAGAGTATCACGCACAGCACTGCCTAGAGCATGCTGGCTATGTCAACAGATTATCTCGCTTTGGACTGCCTGGGCTGTTACTAATATGCAACTGATCCAACAACAGCGATGCTATGAAATTATTTTCCTTAATGAAATTATATCAACCTCTTCAGTTTAATTAGCATGTTAGAATTATAAAAGGAAAGCAGATGTGACCACCATGGATGTGCGAGCTGAATATTAATAACAAAAAGCACCCCCACCCCCTCGGTGGAGAAAGCAAAGTTGGATCGGTCATTTCGCAGATGAAATCCCGAACGTGTGCACACCGCGGCTGTCAGTAAGCCTCTCCCAGGTGTGCGTGCACACACACGGCTGGAGCCCACACAGTTTTAGCAGGGCGAACCTTTAAAGACCCAGCCACAGTCCAGCGGATGACAAAGCTACAGCCCCTGCCGAGCGACCGTCTGCGTTTCTGCCGGCACACACACCGGCGAGGAGCACGAAATGAATGTCCCAGGCTGTCACTGGAGAACTAGCACACGTTGCCCCTGTGCTAGCCAAGCCTAACGGGAGTGCCTGCAAGATGCAGCCCCGTGGCTCCTCATCCCCAAAGTGACAGTGCCGTGGGGCAAGGCAGCGCGCTCGCACATGTCATCCAGCCACATTGCTGCTCTTGCCAGCCAGCACGTCTTGTTTTTCTTTTAAAAAGACACCAGTCCACAGACAGACCCCCTCTGCCACAGCACCACAGCAGCACCCAGCTCTGCCGCTTCCCTCAGCATCCCAGCAGAGAGCTGCTCGCAGGGCTGGGCACCTGGGCACACGGTTTGTTTGTACAGCTCCCTTCTGTCACCTGCTCTTCTCCTGGGTGTTACTGGTTCACTAATTGTCATTTTCACACGTCGGTGGGGCTTCATTTCCCCTGTCAGAAGTGCCCCAGCTCTGTCTGCGCGTTAACCCTACGGAGCCTCCGAGCACGCGGGCTGGCTGGCACCAGCCTGAGGCGGCATTGTCTGGCCATACAGCCAGCGTGCGCTGCTCCCCTCCTTGCAGAAGAAGGGAAAACATGAAAAATTAAAAAATCATTCGCCCCCTAGCCGGGGGATTCAGCCTACAGCCCTTGCTGCTGCCCCCACACACCTGCCCACCTCGTCCTGCTTTCTGGTGACGGGAACACCTGAACCCCAGACGATCCGTGCCGGTTGTCAGCACCGGCTGGAAGTGACCAGCCTGAAAGGACCAAGCAGGAAGAAAACAGCAACGAAACCTCAGCCGAAAAACGGGGCGAGGAGAGCGCTGCTCACCAAGCGGAGCCCCGGCGGCTGTCAGCGGCCCCCAGGTGCCCCTTGGGGGGGGGGGGGAACCGGGCAGCTGAGGGTCTGCCCACGCGGAAAAAATAATAATAATAATTAAAAAAAAAAAAAAAAAAGAAACAAAACAACAACACAGCGACAAAAAAACCATCCTGACCGACCAACCCTGAACCGAGGAAGCAGAACGGAGCCGCGGCCGCAGAGGCACCGAGGATGCGAAGCGAAGCATTCACCTGCTGCCAGTTCTCCTCCAGGGACGGCAACGCGGAGAAGTAGCCGGTGTCGTGGACGAGCTGCAGCTCCTGGAAGATGCTGTAACTCGCCAGGACATCCATGCTGCCGCCGCCGAGCACGGCCCCCGCTCTCCGCCCGCCTGTGCGTGTGTTTGTGTGCTCTGCTGGGGCCGCTTGCGAGCATAAAAAAAATAAAAAATTAAAAAAAAAATAAAAAATTAAAAAATAAAAGAGGAAAAGCGGCCGACGGTGGAGCCGGCGGCCCCGGGGCTTTGTTGTGTTTCGGGCACAGTTTGGGAAAATAAAAGGAAAGGGGGGGAAGGGAGAGAGGGAAGGAGGGAGGGAGGGAGGGAGGACGGGGGACCCTCAGCGCCGGGGGCCGGGCGCGCTCCGAGCTCCGAGCACCCCGCGGCCGCCGCACCGGGGCTCGCGCTCGTGCCCGCCGCCGCGCAGCCCCGCGCCGCGGCCATGCGCGCTCCCGCGGCCCCCCCCGTGTTGTCGGGAGCCCGCAGCGCCCCCCCCGCTCCCCCCCCCGGCGCCGGTCCCCTCAGAGGAGCAGGCCCCGCCCCCGCCGCCCCGCCCCGCCCCCGCGCGCGGCCCACTCAGGCCGCGCGTGACCATGTAAGGCAAACGGCGGGGCGGGAGGGGCGGGGCCGAGGCGCGCCTGAAGTCACTGCCGCCCAATGGCGGCGCGGGATGGCGGGGAGAGGGGCGGGGCCTGGCTTCGGATTGGGCGGCGGCGCGGCTCCCGCCTCCCGCCCGCGGCTGGCGGGGCGGCGCGCGGCGAGCTATTTTTAGGGCGCTATATAAGGGGGCGGCGGGGCGCGCGGCAGCGGCAGAGCGCGGCGGGGGCGGGCGGCGCAGGATGGCGCGGGGGGCTCCGCGCCCGGCCGGCATGAGGGGCCGGGGGTGCTGCCCCCAGGGGTGCTCACTGAGCTCCTGTGGTGCTGGGCTCCCCGTGTTTGTGCGTGTGGAGGGGCCGCAGAGGAAGCGAGCATCTGAAGGAGATGGGCTCAGCCATGCCACAAGCCCCTTGTCTTATTGCGCTGTGGTGCCACCAGCCCCATGGCCATAGCTCTGTCCTGTCACCAGGCTGCTGCTCCAGCATCACCCACCCCCATGGGGCCAGGTGTCCCCTCAGCAGATGCTGCAGGGCCATCTGGTTTCGCAGCGGTCCCTTCACGCTCTCCCTGCTCCCCATGCCCAAGGTGTCCGTGCCCCCCGCTGCCTCCCCCCGCAGCCCGGTGAGCCTGCCTGGCCTCAGCTGGCGCAAATTGGTGCAGTGGTGCTCCCGCACGCACGGCTCGTCCCAGGTGTCCCGCCCGGATTGATGTGAAAATATGAGGCAGCAAAACTCATCAGCGTTAATTAGTTCATGGTATGTTTTCTTTCCTGGTGATGAAGACAAATTGCCTTTTCCAAGACCGGGCCCATGTTAACAATTTTGAATGCTGCGTTTGGAGAAGGCTTCTGAGAATAAGCCTCCCGCTGCCCACGCTGTGGCTGCACCAAGCCACAGATCCTCCAAGGTGCTGTAGGCTGACACTGCTCATACATCTTTTTATATAAAAAGAGTGAGCACCGCACCCTCGTTTGGGGAGGCAAAACATGGTGGGAAATGGAGCTGTTACAGAAGACGGTAATTGGGAGAGACCAGTCAGAGACTGTTGGTTTTTTCAAGAAAATGTTCTCAGCTGTGTGGAAATACCTCTCGTGCGGACACTTGTGCTGCAGAAGTGGCTGGTGGCAGTCTGTGTATGGCTCTGACCCCTAGGCAAAGGCTGAGGGTGGTCTGGGGGCAGCTCACCTGCAGCTGGCTGTGGCAGGGATGCCTGCTTCTCACCCTTTGCCTCAGGAGCCGTCAGTTGCCTCCAGCAGGCCCACCTCCAGCACCTTCAGCTTTGCAGAAGAGCCGGGTGTGAGACTGGACGTGAATAATAAACCGATCATTCTCATCAGTACACCCACAGAAGTGGGAATGCGCATGTTAGCGGGAAGGCGAGAGGGAAGGTCAGCGCGGCGTGTGCTGCTGGAGGTCCTGCAGGCGGTCGTTACCGATTCCAGGCATGCCTCGGGCTGGCACAGCGACACGTCCCTGGGACACCTTGAAGACGGAGGAGAGAACTGATCTGAGGTGGTCAGAGCTGGTAAGAAGCAGCACCTGGGTGTCGTAGCACAGCTCCTGCTCCCAGAGGTTTACTCAAGAAATACCAGTTTCAGAAAAAGCTTCTAAAAGCATTGCTCCTTAAGAGCTGGTCAGAATAAGGCCATATGCATATGTAGAGGCTGCTTCTGACCTCAGCTAGGCAACAGGACAAAAGCAATAAAGGTTTGTGGTGCAAGCTACTTAAACATACACTTTTATCTTCAAATTCTGTGATTCCTGTGGTTGAAAAACATTTTGGTACTATAATTCTGGCTTTGTAAAGCATACTACCCTTTTATTTAATAGGATGTATAGTGCTCTGATTGGGAAGCCTCTGCTCTAACACAGGTGTAAGAAGTGGCCTGTGTGAGCTGTGGGTTGGTCAGTCTTGGTTGCAAAGCTCTGCACCTATGAGTTGCTGTGTGCAGATGGCCCAGAGATCCCCTCTGCTGTGATAAAGAGTCATGTCTGCTTGCTACCGAGTAGCCTTGGTTTGAATTGACACTTAAAATCTCTGTTTGCCCATCTTGAACTTTCTGCTGAGGGCATGCCCTTGTAGGAGCAGCCTCTCTTCCCCTGTCAGGGTGAAGGTTGTTCTCTGGTGGAGCTCAGCTGCTCTTCCCCAGCAAAGAGCCCTGCCTGTGCCCAGGCACACCGTAACTGATGGCCGGATCCGGTGAGCAGATGCTGGTCTGCTGCTCTGGCTGTCTACAGGAGGAATTGTCTGAGGGCAGGATTTTGGCTGTGAGCCGTGAGGTGAAGAGCTGGGCTACAGATCTGGCCGCTTGCCTGGGTGGTTTCCAGGCAGACATTGCATTTTTATTGTCTTGGATACTCTGCTTTGGAGGTCACTCGAAAAAAGCAGAATGGGGTTATTGCTGTGCAGAAGTAGAAAAGTCTGGACAGAAAATGAATGTGGTGATACGCTGGGTGTTAACGCTCTCGCTTCAGCATCTGGGGTAGCATATACCTGTGCTAACCCAAAGGTAATGGAAAGCAATTTTTACCATGCTCTTGTTTTGCAGGCTGTGCTGACCTTACTCCTGGCAGATAGCCACTCAACCCTCTCTGGCCCAACCACGCCACCCACCAGAGAGCAACGCAATCGAATGTGGAGGAGGAGCACCACCACTACGCTGCCAGGCTCAAGGGCACAAAGGACTGCACAACACTCAGGTAAAGCTGAAAGATGGACCTGTGGGAAGTGTAAGGAAGAACATTTCAGTCCTAGCACAAAATTGTCCTGAAATGGGTAAAGGGAATAATCTGGAAGGTGAAAGGATCTCTTTAGGACAGCTCCAAACTTCATCACTGCTGTGACTTGTGGAAATGTTGGGAAGATGCAGGGAGGTGGTACCCAGCTAGCTCCGTTCTCTGGGCTGTGCTGAAAAACAAAGCCTGATGCTTTGAGGGAAGTTGAGATAATAGTTGGACAGGCCTGTTCTGGTTCTGAACTGGAGGCTTTTGGCCCCCATGGTCCTGAAAGGACACTGCACACTCAGGACTTACCAGAAATGAGTTTTCAGTTTGGGGAAGGAGTCTTCATCTGCCGTGGTTGGTTCACGTGCTGTAAGGTTTTGCATTGCTTGCTATCATTTATATCTTAGAACTGTGTCTGTTTGCATCAATATCAGTCTGTGAAGAGTAAAGCAGTGCTGTAAAGGCAAGTAGTGTAGCCTACTGCTGTGTACAGAGCAGTATGGTGATGGGTCAAAGCTTCCAGCAGCATGTAGTAGGTACAACCACAGCGTTAGTGGGAGGACATGTGAATTCCTTAGGGTCCTACTGAGAGCTCTGAACCCATCTGCAGCTAACCAATTCTTCTGTCTTACCAGTTCTGAACCTTTAACCATCTGTCTGTCCTCCTCAGAGAAGTGATGTGGCTGTATAACCCTCCCCCTCACTCCCCTTGTCCTCCAGATTGTGCTACAAATCTGTAAATCATATAAGAGTAGACCGGCACTAGAGGAGTGAAGTTGTTCTCAGTTCCTGGCTGTACCTGTGCTCCCAGCCTCTGGGGATGACAAAGGTCAGCATGTGTGCATGCAAAGCAGAGACCTCCGCCTCTTGCCCAAAGTGATCTTCGTGTTCCTGAACCTCTTTGCAAGGGCAGTTATCATTGCTATTCAGCCGGTGTTCAGCATCTGACATAAACAGTCTCTGATCATATTAGTAGGCTCTCAGGTACTTCTACAGTACAAATAATAAATAATAATGAGCTGCAAGGAAGACCTTTGAGTTTTGGATGTCTGCTCAGGCTGGGCTCTTACGGCTTCCACCTGATGCATCTGCTTTGAAAACCCTTCTGGGCTGCTGTTGCTGGCAGTGCAGCAATGCTGCCCAAAAGAGTGGGCTGGGAATAGGGTCCCTTTGTGCTAGGCATGAAGGAAAAGGTGGTCCTCAGCCCAGGGAAGTGTGCTCGGAAGTGTGGCAGGGTGGGTTCCTGTGTGGTGGTGGATTGGTTGTCTTGATGGTCGTGCTGAGGACAGCGGGACTTTTCCTCACATGTTGGGTGCGAAGAAGTGCCAGCCCTGGGCAGAGGCCATGGCTTTTTGTCCCTCTGCTGCACACTTCAATGTAAAAATACAAACTGGTGCCATGGGAGATGTTGTGCAGCTGATACCAGACATGAGAGAGACACATTTGTGCGTGGAATCTCTGGGCTGGTGGCCTTTTAATGACTGAGCTGGATTACACTCAGGAAAGGTATAGGAAACCTTCCAGTAAAATAGAAGGATACTTGAATGGTTCAGCAGCTGGTAACTGGGGACTGGCTTGCGTTATTACACACATTACTCTGGACAAGTGTTGGTTCGTATTTGCTGTAGCCAGCAGGAGCTCTTTTTAGAAGAGCTGGCGTTGCAGCACAGGTAGCACATCCAGCACGGGGGGCTTGCTGCGCGTGGCTCTTTGGTGGCACCGCAGGGAATACCTGTGCCAGTTGGTGCCTGTGCGAAGGAGAAAGCTGTCCAGAAAGCAGGGGTTACAGCAGCATTGCTGTGTTTTTTTTCTTTCTAGTCTTGTCACAGATGAAAGAAATGCAATGCATTCAAAGCAAAACTTGTCTTCAGCTGGAAGCTGTGAGACTCTCTTACTGTGCTGTTTTCACAGCCTCTTGGGGTTTCTCTCTAGTCCCGTTCCTTACAAAAAGCTGCTGAAGATGTGGCTCTCAGTAAAGCGTGGATGTGTGAATTAACGAGGAAATGCCTGAGTGCAGGGAATGAAAATCAAGGCTCCGAGCTCGCTTGTCAGAGCCGGTCGTGCTGGGTGCAGGCAGGTGCTGCAGCTGTTCCCATGCACAAAGAACGAAATGCCTGGCTTGGCACCAGCACACACCTCACAACAGCAACCAAGCCTTGTACAAACAGTGAGGACCAGAG